TGGAAGACAAAGTTCAAAAGAATGTCAGTGAAAATAGAATTCCTGATACTGTTTACTCTCTTGATGGAAAGGTGGGCCCTGTTTAAAATATTTAAAATTTTAGTCACTCGGAAAAATAGTTTCTGTTTATGATATAATTATCTTTTTATATATGTTCTTGACATTTTAATTTCCTATTTTCTTGTTTGAGAACAGTGTCTCAGAAAATTATTGACCAAAAAGTTGAAACCCAGTGACGTTGGCCACCTAGGTCGTATTGTCCTTCCAAAGGTGAGGTTTTCTTCATCAATGAATAGTGCTTTACTCACTTCGCTCCTTGTTATAAAACACATTTTAAGAGAATTTTTTTAGTTTTTAATATAAGCCACATAGATTATTATTTATTACCATTTTTAATTATACAGTGTACATTTAATTTTATGATTTATCGTATATTATGTATCTTTCTTTTTCTATATTTAGTAGGAGTAAAATCACTAAAAAAATTTTATTTTAAGACATATTTAATAAATTAACTATTATTTCTTGATTCGAAGTAGTTGAAAGCGCTCTGTAATAGTAATCGTGGAGAGTATTGTCTAAAGACTTGTCAACTTCTTGAAAGAATATATTAATAGTAGTATTGAGCTTTAAAACCAAATTGTCTATGTTTCATTATTTATCAAAAGCTATAATTTCCTACTCTTTTCTTTATTATATGTATCCTATAATAATCAGAAGCATTATTAATGATAATAGAAGGAGGCTGAGGAAAATCTTCCTACTCTCTTCAACAAGAAAGGCATCGAAGTTGTACTTAAGGATGTATGTACCGACCGTCAATGGAGCATAAAATACAAGTGAGAATATAATTCCTGTTAAATTGTTACAATTGAAATTTGATATGCATTTTGTTGTTCTTAATCTTTTTAAATGATGCTCAGCATAATATATAATGTTCATTTCACAGGTACTGGTATAATAATAGAAGCAGAATGTATATTCTAGAAAATACAGGTCATTCTCTCATTCGACTTGGTGCCAATTAGTTCATTTTCATCCTCTTGAATTTAAATTCGAAAATTTTTATTCCATATGTAACAGGGGATTTTGTGATGCATTATGAATTGCAAATTGGAGATTATCTAACACTATATGGGGATGATTACTGTAAAAATCTGGTGAGTTTTATACTTCAGTATAGCAGAAATTACTATTTTCAATGCATCTCATTACCGTTGCTTCTGAGCACAATACTGAAAAATATTTGAAAATTAAATTTTACTAACACAATTATAGTAAATCACACAACTCTATAAAATACAGCTTGGATCCCGGAAGCATCCGAGAAAAGTTTACTGGCAAAAAGAGTTAATGAAAGGGAGTGGGTCCCATTCATATCGTGGTCTTGTCATCATGTTCTGTCCACAGTCTATACAGCCTCACCATAAAAAAAATACTCCCTCTTATCATAAATATAAAACTTACTCTTTTGAGACAACAATATAAAACATTTTTTAAACGTCTTATTTAATTTTAAATGTAAGACATTAAGAAAATTTTATAAATATTTTTTTATTATACCTTTACTTATTTATTACTTTTTTTTAAAAATGATGTATTAGAATTTAAATTGTAATTATCAATGTACATATATAGAGTATTTAATGATAGCATAACTGAAAAGATGTAGCTTTTTTAAAAAAATTAAGAATTCAACTAATATTTTTAGAAAACCATGAATTAATTAGCAATACTTTATATTGTGGTATGAAGGGAATAATTAATTAATTTGTGGAGATTAAAAAGTAGTCAAGTTGTTTGTGTATTATATGTATAAAAACTCTAGAAGACACCCAAGGGGAGAATTAATTAAAGGAAAAAATTATATAGGTCTAGTGGAGTTGACTTATGAATCCTGTGACATTCAAAAACCTCAATTAAGTCCCTTAAAAATTGAGTGTAATTTAAAATTTTGGTAGAAAGACAATAATGTTCCTGTTAAATATATATACATTATATCAGTAAAATAATTTACAACTATGTAATCATTAATTTATAATTATAGCTTTCACTTTTTATAAGTGTAATTTCATATATTTAATAGTTAAACTTTATTAGTAATACATGATTGTTTAATTATTGAATATGTAAAATTACAGTTGTAAAAAGTTGAAATTATAATTATAAATGATCAATGAAGTAATTGTAAATTAATTGTTTGATTGATGTAATCTACATTAAATAGTAGTATCATTGTCTTTGCAGCCTAATTTTAGATTAGGCTTAGATCCCAAGGGATTAATTGTAATTTTTAAATTTTGTGGGACTTATTTGTGCAAAATTTACTCTATGAAACCTGTACATAATTTTCTTTAATTAAATATAGGAAACAATGACCGAAGAAAAGTATGAAATAAGTGAGGGTAATTTCGGGAAAATATTAAATGAAGGAGACAGAAGTTTGAAGTCTTGCATTTGGGACCAGAATAAATCTTTCAATTAAGTCTTATATTTAGGACAGGAGAGAGTATCAAACATCATCCAGGTTAGCTACCTTTTTTTTTTATTAGGGTTTGATAATGATATTAAAATTGAGAAGAAACAAAAAGATTAAAATATCGTGAAAATAAAGAAACTAAAAATGCATCATGTTTCTACCTGCAATAGCGACTTTGGAGCTTCAAACAATTTTCATGTGCTTGCATATCATGTTTCTTAAGAAGGAAATTAAAGAAACTAGAGTTTTTTTTTTTTTTGGTTAATTGTCCATTTATTTTCCTTGAAATCAGTATGTGTTGCCGAAGAAAGAGCAAGCATCAAAAGTGGCTGAGCCCTTATCGAGTAAAGAAGTGGAGATACAAGAGAACTCAAACATTTGTAATCCATATTCCCACCAAGTAAAATATGAAGAGAAAGAATTATCTTTTGCTATGTTAATTGATGAGCTGTACCAAAAAGAGCAAGAATCTGGAAACAATAATCCGTTATGCAGCAATATTGAAGGTCCATCAACTACAAGATTACCCCACAATAATAATACGTCGCAAGATTTGTCACGCAAGAACACAATAAGTGAGGGCCTTGACAATTTAGATGATTTCTTTGAAGGCCTTGACATGTCACAATTTGGATGTAACTTTCTTCTTGATGAGAAATTCGTAGATGCATGACATGACATGGTCATGCATGAAAAAGTCCTTCATGTTAGCTTTTCATTGTCCAGCCGAGAACAGTTTGTAAAATTACTCATGCTTAATTCTTTCATGCTGGGAATCAACATTAATTGGATATGTCTAGTCATGTGTAAGTCAATATGATATTTACATATGCAACAAAAGCAACTCAAATTGTAGCAAGAACATAACTTTTGATCACCGTATTTTTATTCTCTTGCCTTTTGATTATTCTATCTTCAAATCTGGTCATTCAAAGAATGACGATGTTCATTTTGGAATTATGATCGGATTGAGGGTGGTATAATTAATTAATGCTTTTTGGGTGTTCATAGGGATGATTGTGACCATATCAAATGTTTCATGTTGGTCGTTTTGATGGAATGGTCTGATCGAATACGTGTCTGTTTCTTGGTTTCTTCTTCACTTTGAGCTAGAGTGGGGTATATATATATATATATATATATTGTTCATAATAATACCCTTGGTGTTGCTTAGAATTCTTCTGGAAGCATTTGATTTCTATAATTTAATTTTTTGCTGAATGATTTCTTTTCTGATGCTGACTCTTCTTAAGCTATAAAATAACTCTTTTGAGCTAATATAAATTTTCATATATTATAAGTAAAATCTTGTCGTGGGTGTTGGCCTGAGCGAATATTTGAGCTGAAGCTTTATCGTACCTTTTCTGACCTTGCTTTTAAGTTGAATCTCATTCAGGTTATATATAAATTAGTTTATATTATACATATATATATATATATATATATATAAAGCTAGACGTAATATATTCTGAAACATTCACCTTATTTCTATTGTGTGAATCTAGAATAGGTCTTATATAAGCCTTGACATTGGTAAGCGCGCGCGTGTTTGTATATATATACACATTTATGTTTGCATATTTGAATAAACAGTAATTGGTTGATTGCATTTTACACTATGTTTATTAGTTTTCATGTTCAAATTTCACAAGGTTATGAATTCTACACTATGGATTGCATTTTTCAGTATCTGTTGAACTTATTTATGAATTTTGATTGGATATTTTGTCTGCAATATTTGTGGAGGAGTAATAACTTCATCACAAGGTTAGTGAATTAAGCACCATACAATTATATATCAATAGGCATAATTATTTTGAAGCAAAATGAGCGGAAGGATCTCAAGGGTACAGATTCAAGCGCGCGCACATACACACCAACAGTACAGTAATTTCAATTTTAAATAACTAACACTAGTGCAAAATACGATATTTTTAATGACACCATTTTCAAATAACTATATAACCAACAAATCCTCCTTTATAACATCTTTCTGGTCCAAACAGCACAATTTTGTCTGTTACTGTAAAATACTTTCTAATAATGTCAAATTATATTCTTAAACGAGCTGTTAATTTTGTAAAATAAATTTTGAAAGGAAATATTTTTATAGCCACAAATAATTTTGTAAAATAAAAATCTGGGAAAATTAAAGCATGACATATTCCAACTTGTATGTGATAAAACGTTAGGAAAATTTACGCCAACAAGTCTAAGTACATAACCGTTGGCTAACATAATTTATATGCAAAAACAATAAAATTAGGCTGACATAATTTTATATGGATAATAGTATTCGTTTTCATGAGACTAAGTCAAAATAAACATGATCAAGCAAAACAGCAAGAGCCCAATAATTTGACTCATCCATAATTAGTCGGGAGTACCAAATACTAAATGATTTCTAACCAAACGAAAAGTTGCCGGGGGTTCATAATGCCATTATCAAAAGTTGGGGTTTTGGTGAATTTAATAAACCCAAGATCTTTGGCCAAAAAAAAAAACCCAAGATCTAATCATTTTATGGAGAACCAGGTGATGGTAGAAACACCCTTATAAGCCCTTTCGAAGTAACCTTGACCCTACAAGTAGGGCATTCACGTTTTGCTTTTAAAGCAGCCTTGATGCATCTCTTGCAAAATATGTGACCACACCTTGTTGACACTTCTTCAACAAATGGTTCCATACATATTGGACAGTTAAAGACAGGCATCTTTGTTGGTTCAGGTGAATTTCTGATCTCTTTCCCCAGCTGCAAGAAAAGTTAAAGTAACAATAATCAAATTAGCGACTTCAATTCCATAAGCACCTCAAGATCATCAGTCTATATATAGTGAACAAAACTTTTTTTGCTCAGTACTGTCTTAGTCAATACCACTTCTATTTGTTCATGTTAGCAACAATAAGTAAACTTGAGTTATCTTAAAGAAATTTGGAGTCAAAGGATTTTTACTTAAATAGAAGTAAGACATAATATATGAATTACCACTTTGTGTTAAGAAAAATCGACAAGGCTTAGACACAAAGGAAAAACCCCACTTCACTTGTGATGCTTCTTGAGGTGGGACTTAAGACAATGATGGTTTCTCTTACCCAATATATTAGTCTTTTAAGATGGGTTCTTTTTGAATTTGTGTTTATGACATTAGTGCTTTCATTGACAGGCTAGTGTCACTGAAAAGATTACATATGGAGGGTTCTAACTAGCAAGAGGCTAAATGAAGTGCCATCAAGTGCAACCATTAGGGATATCGGCTTAGCTCTCAAAAGGGTGGCACTGTAATGAGTCCTAGATGAGGGAGCTTTACAAGTTGAATGAAGTTTATAAGTGTGAGGAGTTCTTCCAATTACTAGACTATTTTTTTTTTTGGACAAGCTTTCTTTTTAGGCTTGTGCTGATGATAGTGGAGTAGTGAAATGAAAGGGGATCTAAAAACCAACCCATAGAAGGGGTATCAATATAGGACTTTGGAAGAAGTCTGAATCTCAATCCAAAGCATAGAGTATGCGTGTGCGTGCTTGTGCAAGATAGTAATAGTGACAAATGATGTGAGGGTTAAGCCCTTGCGTGAAAGATATAGTAAAAGTAAGGAATGATACAAGAGATGTGAGGCTTGAGAGTGTGAGGCAGAAAGTAAGAGTTATAAGTGATGCCAGAGATGTGAGGATTGAGGCTAAAGAGTGATGTGTGAGGGGTTGTGTAAACTATTGTTTGGGTTAATAATTTGTTTTCTTTATTAAATCATTTCTTCTTTCAAGTTAATACAACATGTTTTAATTATTTATCACATAACTTCCAAAATCTTGCAAGATGAAGAATAAACAATTAACCATCACATCAATAATAAGGACAATACAAGTTAACAAGCACGCTAACATTATATTATTGGAAACCATGGCCACATATCGATAAGAACAATTATAAAGAAACAACAATCATAAGATAACAATGAAGTATGAAAAATATTAGAATATTTTAATACCTCAGAACTAACAATGCCATCCAATTTAATATATGGGTCACAATTAGGAAATGTTTGGTTCCAAAAAGATTCTCTGTGATTGTTGGGAGTAATTTCAGCTACCCGACTTACATTGTCTGCAATTATCATGAATGAGAGAGTATGAAAAAAATAGGACGGTAAGAAAACATTTGGGAAAAAATTATATACATGTCCCATATGACACATTTAAGTTCACAAGTTCAATTGATAACTTAGCAAAGGAAAGAAGATAACCAAAATAGTTGTCATTCTCCTTTGCTAAATGGACCTTGTGGTATTTAAATGGATTGTCAATGACCTTAAAGCAATTTCCCCAAACATTTTATTTAACAATGAGGCACATTTTGAGAGCATAATTAGCAACATAGACAGCAATTTTCCCTCATCATAAAAAATCAGTATAAGAATGATAAAAGATCTTATTTTTGTACCTTGATCATGTTTGGAATAGGGAGCAACTACTCAAAATGGAGGAAGAGAACAAGTAAGTAAGAATAATGGAAGAACACTATATTTTAACCTAAAATCTCAAGGTTCAATTTGATAAGTCATTCTCATTTATTATATATGAGTTATTAAGCCCAATTTACCACATATACTTATCGATATAATAATTTTAAAAAACATCGCAACTTGAAGTATTAGATATCATCAACAAGTGATTTACCCAGAAACATACTGAGTAGAAAATATAATTGGTCCAAGATGTTAATTAAACAAAATGTTCATGAAGACTCTAAACAAAGAATAGTCAAATAATATGTTACCTAAATCCACATCGACTATAGTCCTCCCACGATTTCTTCTTGAATTATTTTTGGCCTAAATTGAATAAGAATCACATAAATAAGGTTATCCCCGCAAGATCATCAAATATAGAATGACAATATCAAATCAACAGAGTATATATCAAAGGGAGTTACTTGCAATACCTCAAGAAAATCACTTTGCGTAGATTCAATAACGTCATCATCAATAATAGCATCCACATCAATAGGTTGAAAAAACTGTGACTGTTGAACAACTTGACGATTTTCTACTTGAGGTCCCTCCTGCTCCATATTCACCTCAAGTGGAGCCCTATTCAGATCCAAATCCAGATCTCTTCGTCGGTGACTTGTTGGAGCATTCTCTCCAATAGAATAAGTACTCATCTTATGTACAATAAATCCCACGTCACATGAAAAAATATCAATATATGCCATCAATGAATACAAGAGTCACCCAAAAAAGAAAAAAAAAAAAGAGCCAAGCCTTGCTTTGAAGAAGATAATGGAGTAGGAAAACAACATAAAAATGATAATTTCAAGTGCAACGATATGGATCCAAATGTTCATGATTAATAACATGAAGTCATCCTCTCTAGATTGCGAAGGTGGTTTGAGTTTAGTGGAGAGAACACTACAAATCTAGACTATCATAGAATATTGAATTTGACGATTTAGATTTTGCAATTTTTGAAAGTATAGATAGATTTGCATTGTTAAAACTTGATCTAAACAGTTGAGCTTTGGAGTGGAGGTGCGGCAGTGAGAAATTTCAATGGAGAGAAACCAAATCCCAAGATTGCAAGGGAATTATTCAAAGGACATTTGTGAGTATTCATGTAAGTGATATAATTTGTGGTTGCTTTTAAGAAAAATCATTACATGCAAAGTAATATTAGTAATAGTAGGTAATTTATTCTATTGGTATATGTATTGCATGTGCGCCTGCGTGTGTGTAAATGATACTATCGCATATATTAATTATTGATAATAAGTATGAACTGATTTGAATTTATAACAAATACTAGGATAATAAGTCAAAATAGCCATAGACTTGGATTCCATTAGAATAAAAAATCTTGAAACAATTCTTGATTGAAATACAAATTCAATCAACTACATTTCTAGGTTATAAGCATTTTAAACAAACTCTATTTTCAATATAAATAAATAAAACCATATCCCATACTAGCTAGAATGCTAGAGAATGATATAATCTAATTACTTAATCATAAAGGAAAACAATTGTGAACGATGTTGTGGCCTTCTTGAAGTAAGGGATGAGAAGATATATGTTTGCACGAGGAATAATAATTTATAATTTATTTTGTTGTATATGCATACAATATAAGCACGCACGGGTTGTGCGTGTAAATGATACTTTCACTCACATTAATGATTGGTAATAAATATAAAATGATTCAAATTCTTCATATATGCCAGGATAAGAAGTCAAAATAACATAATACTTGGAGTTTTGTAGAATTAGCAATCTTGAAATGATTCTTGATTAAAATGCTAACTCAATGGGCTAAATTTTTAGGTTAAGCATTTTAAACAGACTCTATTCACAGCAAAAATAAATAAATAAACAAAGTCTTATCCCGTACTAGAATACTAGAGAATGACATAACTTCTGAATCACAAGGAAAACAATTCCCAAACATATATGATGGATCAAGAAGCAAGGGATGAGAGTTATATATGTGTGTACTGATAATAATTTACAAGTTATTCTATTAAGTATTGATATGTGCACGCATGCATTGTGCATATAAATGATATTTTCACTCACATTAATTACGGGTAATAAGTATGAAATGACTTGAATTCTTCACGTATATTGGGATAAGGAGTAAAAATAGCATATAGACTTGGATTTTTGTAGAATTATAGAATTATAGCAATCTTGAAAAAATTCTTGATTAAAACACAAATTCAATGAGCTAAATGTTTTAGGTTATAAGCGTTTTAAACAAACTCTATTCACAGTATAAAGAACTAAACAGACAAACTTATTTTTCTTACTAGAATGCTAGAAAATGACATTACTACTGAATCACAAAGGAAAAGAATTCCCAACCATAATGGCCCTCAAAGTAAGGGTATGAGGGAATATATGTAGCTAAGTAATAATTTTTAATTTATTCTATTGATATATGTGCACCGATGCGTTGCGCGTGTAAATGATACTTTCACTCACATTAATGATCGGTAATAAATATGAAATTATTCAAATTCTTCTCATGTACTAGGATAAGAAGTCAAAATAGCATATAGGCTTGGATTTTTGTATAATTAGCAATCTTGAAACAATTCTTAATCAAAATACAAACTCAATGAGCTAAATTTTTAGGTTATAAGCATTTTAAACAAACTCTATTCTCAGCGTAAATAAATAAATAAACTCATCCCTTACTAGAATGCTAGGGAATGAAATAACCACTGAATCATAATGGAAATCAATTCCCAACCATAATGTTGCCCTCAAGAAGTAAGGGATGAGGGGATATAATGTATACAAGAAATGTTTTATACGTTATTCTATTGATATATGTACGATATATGTGCACGCACTTGTTGCTCGTACAAATGATACTTTCACTCAATTAATGATCGGCAACAAGTATGAAATTATTCGAATTCTTCACTTGTACTAGGATAATAAGAAGTCAAAATAGCATGCAGACTTGGATTTTTGTAGAATTAGCAATTTTGAAACAATTCTTGATTAAACTACAAACTCAATGAGCTAAATTTTAAGGTTAGTATTTTAAACGAACTCTGTTCACAGCATATAAATAAACAGACAAACAAACAAGCTCGTATCCCTTACTGCAATGCTAGAGAATGACATAAACATTGAATCAGAATGGAATAAAACAATTATCAATCACAATGAAGCTTTGACAGGTTACCCAAAATTACATGCCAAAATATAAATCCGCAAGCCGTTTATATAAATATTTGAAAAATGAACAAGGAATGTTAAGAACAAGAAACTCAAGTCTTCAGTGACAAAACATTAGTTAACCATTGAATGCAAAAGCCATTAGTCACAAAAGAAACATAACCAAACCTTCGGACAAAATAGCCAATCAACCGATCAATTCAAGCATGCATGTTCTTTGGCTAAAAGCGTAAATTTCAACCATTTTAGACAATCAGATCCCAACGATAAAAATTGACAAAAATAACAAAAAGCTAATAAATATGGACATGCAAGGCTCTACTTTCAGCATCGGAGTTCGGAAAATGAGAAGGATCAAAACTACAAAAAAGAAAAATATCAAAATCAAAATCGCCATCTACGACAAACAAAAACTGAGCCTCTGAACAAAAAAACGAGATAGAAAAAGGAAATTCTAAACTTGTCGCAAGAAAACGAACCTTCAATCGGAACTCCGAGTTGCGAAATGGGACGACGAATTGTCGAAGCTTCAAAACCATTCAAGCAAGAGAGAGAATCAGAGCTTCGTTCGTAGTTGAAGGTCTTCTTAAATAAGGAGAGTGAATGAGACAGTGTTGTGTAATAACGTTACTTTCTTTTTCTTTTCTTTTTTAAATAAATGTTAAAAAAATTTTAGTTTCATCGAAAATAATAGTACTCTTAAGGATTAATAAGGATATCTATTATGGATATCCTTATCCTTAAAAAGGTATGGATTATTATGGATATTTAATTTTGGGAATTGATAAATTGGTAAAATATCATCAAAAGGCATAAACTATTACGGATATCTAATTTTGAGACCTCAATGAAATATTTGTAATAAATAAATGATTTTGGAATTAGTTTATATATTAATATATTATTTAAAATTTAATTATTATTTATTAAAGAAATGAAATTGTAAAGATATAAATATAATTCCCAGTTCCTAATATTATAATTCTTGAATCTTTTTGTAAGCGAATTGATTCTAATAATTATTAATAATTACAGGAACCATATCTTATCGCAAGCATATGCATATTATACTTGATTTTAGAATTTTCTTTAGAATTTTTTTGGCACTAAAAAGAAAAGAATTCTTTTTGGGTAGCTAATTCAATGCATAAATTTACCACCAGGAAAAAAAATCTCATTTCAAAAAATTAGACATCATTATTAATGATTATCTTATACCTTTCCTTATAAATTTTATACTTTGTTTTTTAATGGTAAGAAGTTTCATACCTTTTATTTTTAGATTAAGATCAATTATGGATATTCATATTATTTTTTAATTCAATTTTTTAAATTTTAATTTAATCAATTGGATTTTGTGTGTTTATAAATATTTAAAGGGAAAAATTAAATATTCTAATTACTTTCTGTATTATAGAAAAACAGTTTCTAAATTCATACTAGTTTCTATATTACGGGAAAAATTTACTTTCTATATTTATGATGAGGAAAGAATTTTTTATTTAAATATTTTGGCCTTCATTAATGTATTTAAAGTAAACCTTAAATTTGATGTTTTTATACTATTTACCACTGCGGCTATTCAGATCTATTTGGGATTTTTTTTCTGTTATTAATTCCAATTTTTATCAATTCGAAATCTTCCTTATTTTTATTTTATTTTTTAAACTATTTTTTTGACTGACTTATTTTTTAAACTACACTGAAAAGCGATTTGCAATGGTGCATTTGTGCTCCTAGAAGTTGATAATAATCACTCGAACCAATCATCGATCATCTCAGTAAAGAACATTAATAATTGAACGTAGCATATTTAACAACTAATATACAAGCATTGGTGTTTGTGTGTATTTTTATTTTTTATTTTTTGATAACAGTGTTGTGTGTAATATTTACCAGTTTGCATTTTCTTCTTCGGCCCCTGTGATTTTTTTTTCCCCTTTAACAAGCTAGGCATGAACGCTGAACAAAATTTTTGTAAAAGAAGAAAAGACTAAGGGTTTTTTTTTAACAAATCAAGACTTAGGTACTTAATCTTATATATTTAGTATACTTTTATTTGATTAAATTAAGATAAGTGCATTTATAATGTTAATAATATTAATAGTGACTATTTATTATGAAATTTATAATATATAAAAGATCCATATGTCTTGATTTAATTGAAAGCAAATATTTTAAATATATAAAAATAAGTATATAAGTTTTTTCTTTAATAAATATTTTTTTCTATCCCAAATTATAAGATAATTTAAGAAAAAATTTTGTGTACCACTAAAACACAATAATAATACTTTACCAACTTAATTACTTTTCAAAACAAAATTATAAACTTTTAAAAATATCCCTACACAATTAATCATTACACTACAATATCATTTCATTTCTCTTTCTACTTAAAGGTAATCTTCAAAAAAGTATCATTAATAAAATCTTAATTTTCTCAAATTATCTTATAGTTTGAGACAAAAAATTC